ATTTCCACATGTTTTGGATATTTTTGTCTATTCTCTGTTGCTTTTATGTTTTTGTAGGTCTGTGGCTTTGATCCTGGAATGAAAATTAAATTAGATGCAGAAGGCAAAATAAAAACATGGAATAATTTGCCATTCCCAGATAGTTTTTCCTCAATGACCAAACCAGCAAACAACAACAAAGCAAAACATAAAAGCCACTACATGTTTTGATACATTTTTAATTTACAATAATTTTACTTACAATGTTATTAATTTACTTTTTATATTCTGTTATTTATTACTGTTGGTAGTGACAGTGTAAATACAAATAGTACATAAAAGCAGTGCTGTCAAACATGTAGCTTACTAACCTAATCTTTGGCTATATTTTTAGATTAGAGGATGATGTAATGCAACCAGAAAAAGGCACAGGCGTGCATGCGTGAGTGCGTGCGTGCGTGTGTGTGTGTGTGTGTTTCATGTTTTTATATCCCAGTGGGAACTTCAACATGAATGCACACTAAAAGAAGGGGACTTCCGTCACCGTGGGGACAAAAATTGAGGTCCCCACAAGTAGAGCCGCTTTCTGAGGGTTAAGACTTGGTTTTAGGATTCAGGTTAGAATTAAGTCAAGGTTAAGGTTAAGAGCTAGGTAATGCTTTTATGTCAACGAGATGTTCCTACAAACGTGTGTGTGTGTATATGTATACTCGGGGAAGGGGGGCTGTGTGTGCAAGGGTTTGCATGCATGTGTGTAATTCTTGTGTGAATGTGTGAAATCCTGCATCTCACCCTGATGTCTGGGGAATTTGAGTGCATGTTGAGTCAAAGCTGTTTAGATTTTCCCTCTTTTTTGACATTGGAAATAGTTGACTTTTTCATAAAGTGTCACGTTGCAACTTGGTTTGGCATATGGATCTCTGCAGGAGGCTACTATTATTCAAATTATAGGCCAGGTTTATTATAGTCATTAAGGTCAGTGTAGCATGTCACAGCAAGCTGTCGCATCTTTTGACATCTCGCACACACACACACACACACACACACTGTGACACAGTATGTCAGTCAGTAGTTGCACCCCCATTTTCTTCAAAGAGCTCAAAATGTGTTAGATGTTTACTGCTAGCTTTCTCAGGTGTCTGTCATAAAGGTTACAGTGTCTTCTCAACTCCCTTGCTTGGCTTTTTGATCGCCATAAACCGCGTGTGTCCTTAAAGTAAAATGGAAAGCCCACAGAGGGAATCACTTTTGTCCACGCTATGAATGGGGAGAGTAGCACAACAAGAGACTGAAGTTAGTTCTCGCAAAACAGATTTTATTTCACCCTGAAGTGAATTATTGCCCCTCTGAGATCGTCCTCCCACGTTCCTGTTCGGTTTGATGTGCCTTCTTTTTCACTATGGGTCTCATGAAGCTTTGAACGCAGAGTTTGAAATGAACTGCTTTACTTTACGCTGCCTCGTAGAGCAGTCTGCGTAGTGATGAATGCTTGCCTTCTGTCAAGTTGAAAACTAAAAGTAGGTTCAAAGAGCAGAGTGGAAGAATTCAGAGCCAGACTTTAAGATGTTCCTGTCAGGCTTTTTGGGGTGGATGAGATTACAGTTTGTCTGTTGATGTCATATAGACTCAGAGAAACCACCACTTATGAGGCCTCGTAAAAGCAGCAACGGGCTCTCACCCATAAGTAGATCAACTCCTAGTCAATCAATAGATAGAAAATGAAGGATACTAATTTGATAATCCATTAATCATTTAAGTTATTGTTTTAAAATGATCTGGTTCCAGCTTCACAAATACGAATATCTGTTGATATTGATTGATACAAAAACAAGCTACTCGAATATGTCAACTTGGGCCTTTGGAAATTGTATACAAATTTTTATTGGCCCAAGATTAATCAACAGACTAATCAGTAATGAAAATAAATTTTTATTTTTTTTTCAGCTCTTCCTGTGAGGTGTACCCATGATATTTAGGCTCACTGCTCTTAAATTGTATTTGTTTTCCACTGTATCACTCCAAAAATGTTTTAAAAGGAATAGTGACCTATTATGTCTACTCTCCCAAGCTAACCATTTTTAGTCTCTGTCAGACAACAATTACCAACCAAGCAACGTCACTGTAGTTGCTCTTAACCAACTCATTTGATGCACACTTGTTGCACCATAACTCTCATGGATTGTTCTTTTCCATTGCACACTGCATGGATGTGAAGCCACACACTAGGAACACAGCTACTGAGAATCTGGAACCAGCACAGTGGCCCATTTCTGTGTTGAAATTAACCTTGAAACTGTCTTTTATCCTTGTGTATTTGCAGCATGCTATCGCAGGCCCCCAGCACTTACTACACACTAAAGAAACTGCAAGCCTGACTGCATCTCAGTCTGCTCTGCAATCAACCACAGCATCCTGAGTCCCTGTGGAGGTAAACAGGAACAGGCTTCAGATGCCTGATTAATATCTGAGTGACGTTTATGTACTCTCGTATTTTGGATCCCACAGTCATTATTATTGACTGGTGAATTAAGGACCATCGATTGAGTCATTTGTAATGCTCATTGGCTGTTTCCTATGACACCCAGTCAATCAGTTTTGTTCTTTTAATGCTGTCTGATCTTAACTGTCATTGGGATTAATGTTAATGACAGTATTTTGCAGATAAAACTCCTAAAATTGTATTACAGAGGGGTCTGTCACAGATGGTTTATTGAGCATAGGTGTGTGTGTGTGTGTGTGTGTGTGTGTGTGTGTGTGTGTGTGTGTGTACGTACATACATAACCACAACTGCTGCAGGTGCGGATGGAGCTTACAGATGGTTTTATTTTTACATTTCTTTGAGGTGATAGACAGTTGAGGCATTCATGCAGCTCACTCACATTGAAATGGTCCAGCAGCTAAGCTAAATGCTTGTGTTGGAAGAGGCCATTTCTGTCTGTGCTGGCACTGTACCCTTCAGCCCTGATCCTGACTGACTGAGGCAGAGCCAAACCCAGAGCCTGCTGTTTTCACTGCAGGAGGAGTTGGCAGGTTGTGTAAAGGAGGCCAGCTGACCTCTGTACCTGCCTCCCTTTCATCTTTGCCACTGGGACTGGGACTACATAGGTTTTTATGAACTAGTTCAGCATCCTGGACAGTGGAGTACAAAGTTTTTACAGAGAAAGTGGCTCACAGTGTAATTATTCATGTGTGTTCCTCAGGATTTCAGTTGCTGTGTCCTGTCTTCCTCACCTGATTGGTGGCTGTCCTTAGAGCAAAGATTAAGTCCAAACATAATTTATGATGATGTCTTACAATATTCTGTACTGTAAATTAAAAGGAAAGGAAAGTCTTTTCCATACGCACACTGTATAATATTAAAGGAGTAGTTTGACAAGGGTTAGATGGCTGTACGGTAAATATGAAACTTAGCTTAGTGTAAAGGCTGGAAACCGGGGGAAACGGCTAGACTGGCTCTGTCCAAAAGTAATAACAGCTCTTGTGAAGCTAATTAACATGTTACATCTTCATTGTTTACTCTGTACAACAACTGAGACAATAACATATTATTAGTGAGCTTTGGAGGGGCTGGTCAGCAACTTTCTCTCCCCTGTTGTTAGTCTTTTTAACAGTCTCCCGGCAGTAGCTGCAATATCATAGTAAGATATGTAAACACGCGTGTTTCTCTACCTACTGATTTAATATTTTTTTCTTTTCCTAGCTGACTCTTATTCTTGGGAGAGTTTTTTTTACATGTTGAATGAATGACTATCCCATCTGCTGAGCCATTGTTACATTTACGCTTTTATCCAAAGCGACTTACAATTGCTATACATGTCAGAGGTCGCACGCCTCTGGAGCAACAAGGGGTTAAGTGTCTTGCTCAGGAACACAATGGTGGATGTCTCACAGTGGGAATCGGACCCAGGTCTCCCACGCCAAAGGCAAGCATCTTATCTATGCGCCATCACCACCCCTCTTAACAGGTAAACCAAGTTTCTGCATTATTGCCCTCGGTAGCTAATGCAAACCAGGGCCACTGCATGGCTGAAAACGTATTATCCAGCAAAAAGATCAAAACACATTTTTTCCCCCTCAGTCATAATTACCACTTCTGTCATAGCGCTTCTGTCATAGCTCTTTCTGGCATTACTTTCATCCTCTTCTTCTCCATTATCTTCCTTTTATACTTTGTAATGCAGACCCTTTAAAGACTGCTCATGCTGCTAAATACAGTCAGAGTTAAAGACAGAGAGCCCATCAGGACATTCCAGCCATGACAGCTGAGCCACAGACACCAAACAACATGAATGATCTTGTCCCCCTTGGGGTGAAAAGGCAGAACACATAAAGTTGGACTGCTGCAAGACATAGGTAAAACAACAGCGAAGGTTTACTCTGTATTTACACAGGAAGCTATACAGTAGCAACCCAGTGGGCATGTATAGTGATTGGTTGGTACGGTCTATTGCCAGATATTTTTTTTTGAATGACTAGGATTGTGTTTTGTTTCTTAGTGTTTTTGTTATGAACTGGCTATTTCCTGTGTCTGGAGTCTGTCTAGAGTGATTTGTGCCACACAGATGTGTCTACTCACTTGTGCCCTGTGTGTTTCCTGTTTGGCTTCGTGCGGGCTCAGTGCCCTTCCTGTGTCCGGCGGCCTCATTCCTCGACAGATTAGAGGTTGTTTGAGGTCATGTCTCTGCAGAAAATGGACTGCGAGACCTTAAATGACCTCGCCTCTATTCTCAATTGGTGCCGTAATTGCTTGTCCCACCAGCCGTCATATGTATGATTGTCTAGTTAGAAGATCCGGGCCCATTCCTTACAAAGGGAGCCAAATGAGGCAAGTATCAACTGGGTTCCTTGCCTCTAATTAAAGTTTATGTTTATGTTGGCTTGGACAGCGTTGATATTACTTGAGTATTCGAAAGCTGTAATCTTGTAAGTTTGCTTTTCTGTCCGATTTCAACATGTGGTAATGTTTTATACAGTACTTCTGTGATTCACTGAGTTTTATTTCTCTCCCTCTCACTGGCAGAATGAAGATGCCTGAGGCTGGAAGTTAAGAGCCCTCAACCAGAGAGAGCGTGTTCCAGGACTGGGGCTGGACCCAGAGACCCCTGACTGGGGGGGGGGGTGAGGGCCCTTACAGCCCTGTGTGAGTCTGGACCATGGGGGATGGAGGCGCCGGGGCTACTGGAGGAGATGGGGTGAACCGGTCCCATGTCCTGTTCGACAACTTTGTCCAGGCAACCACGTGTAAGGGCACGCTCAAGGCCTTCCAGGAGCTGTGCGACCACCTGGAAGTCAAGCCCATCGAGTCCAGGATCTTCTACCACAAGCTCAAGTCCAAACTCAACTACTGGAAGGCCAAGGCACTCTGGGTAAAGTTAGATAAGAGGGCCAGCCAGAAGGAGTACAAGAAAGGCCGTGCATGTGCCAACTCAAAGGTAAGCCTGGAACATTACAAACTGTATGATTAATTTAAAGGTGGCTTTGCTTGTTGGTGGCTTCAGTTCACTGAGATCTAAAATCTGACCTCAGTGTCAAGGAATTTAACTGATGCTCGCTTTATATGAAAGGACACTATAGGGAGTCTTTTTCAATTTTGTTGTGGACACCGTTCACTTCAGTTCACTGTTTGAATTTGATTTGTCACCTCCTCTGGTTTACTGTGTATACTGAGCTGACCCCCAAACATGTGCTGAGGCTGTATTATTATTTTTTGCTGAAGAGTTGAATTGACAACTGTTGGTTTGGAAGACAAGTTCAGATTTGAACTATGCTCTACAAATAAAGTTCACGGAAGTTAACCAACTAATAAAATTTCCTTTAGGATGAATGCAGTTCTGGATTATCTTAACTTAGCTTAGTTTAACATATGTTAATTTATGTTATGGTACCTTAGCTTCAGTTATGTTACCTCTTAGCTCATCTTATTTTGTGTTATGTTGTAGTTCCTTATCTTTGCTTATCTTAGCTCATCAACTATGGGCTTCATCGATTTTTTTTTTTTTTTCTCTTCATGTGTTGTATCCCATTATTTACCTCGTATTATTTGGCAGATGCCTTTGTCCAGAGCAATTCATTGACAGATTGATTGATTGCATTCAAACTCAAAAGAAGCAAGAGCTTGATGTCATCACAAATTAGAAGTGCAACCCTCCCAAAATACAACTAAAAGTGTGTTAGAGAGCTACATTGCAGGAGGTTTTGTGCTAGCGTGGGAGTCTCAATAAGTGGGTTGCAATGAAAGATGGGCAGTGACTTTACATGACTTGGTTTTTCACGTGTATTGGTCAATATATTTCTCATAGCTTGTCTATAATATCTGCGTCTCTCTGTATTTAGTGTCTGATCATTGGTGCAGGACCATGCGGCTTACGTACAGCCATCGAGCTGGCTTTCCTGGGGGCCAAAGTGGTGCTGCTGGAGAAGAGAGATGCCTTCTCTAGGAATAATGTGCTGCACCTCTGGCCCTTCACCATTCAGGACCTCAGGGGCCTTGGGGCAAAGAAGTTCTATGGAAAGTTCTGTGCTGGTGCTATCGATCATATCAGTGAGTACACATGACTAATTTTGTTTACACAACTGATACTGTATATGACACATTTGCCTGTGGGTTTAGCAGCTCTGATGTCATTCAAGTGTTCTCTCCATCTCTTTATTGGATTGTAGGTATTCGTCAGCTTCAGCTAATGCTGCTCAAAGTGGCTCTCCTGCTGGGCATAGAGATCCATGTCAATGCCGAGTTTAAGGGCCTCATTGAGCCCCCTGAAGATCAAGAGACTGAAAGTAAGAGTTAAGCTGCTGCCGGACAAGCTGAAGAAAAATGAATGGAAACTCAACGTGTGTTTCGTCAGAGAACTATCTGTCAGCTAGCTCTGTTGATGCATTTCTGTCTGATTACACATGCTGTGTTTTCTTAGGGATTGGTTGGAGGGCTGAGGTCCACCCCAGGACACACCCTGTCAATGAGCTGGAGTTCGATGTCATTATTGGAGCAGATGGAAGGAGAAACACGCTACCAGGCAAGTCTGCATGTACTGACTGGGAGAAATGCATTAGTAATGCGGTTTTTAAGTTGACTCAACAAGACAACGCAAAACAGCACAATTTGTTTCTTTCTTTCTTAAGCGGACTTGGAGGATAGTCAGAACAATTATGATCTCACTTGTGTACAGCTGTGGTCGGGGACCTGACCTCACTCCGTTCCTCGCGTATGAATGAGCATATGTGTATATCTGTGTGTGTGTGTGTGTGTGTGTGTTTGTCTGTCTGGCTGGCTGGCTGGCTGGCTGCAGCGTAGTATTTCTGACTGCTCTCCCAGCAGAGCACACTAGGAATTGTTAAGTTGGCTGTCTGTTTCCTCTATGACTGTCGGGGCCTCACACACAGCCACACAGGCCCCTGTGGATTAGAGTTCCATGACCCCTCTCTGTACTACTGACCGCTGCATCAAGGATGGGAAGCAGCAGGCTCCCTCTGGGATAACCATGAACTACAACGCACAGCTTGAAAAACTAGAAAGCTGTTTACGTTGTCGTGATGCAGAACATCTGGTTGCATTTATAGCATACATTATGCATTTGTTGGGTTTTTAGATGTTGAAAATCTTGTTCTGCAATTTGAGGGTTAACTCCCTGTTTGGGAATGTTTTTGGATTTATGGTGTCACAGTTCAGGTCTGTGCGCGATCATTGCCAACCATGAGGTCTGCTTCCTCATCCTCTTGTAACTTTCCCCAGGGTTTCGGCGTAAGGAGTTCCGGGGCAAGCTTGC